GACAATGGGAGCTTTGTTATTGGGAAGATTGTCGGCCTCTATGCTTGGATTATTTGTGCTGCCTGGTGTCATTGATGCAGACTATACTGGTGAAATCATGATTATAGTTCATACTCCATTTCCTCCTATTAAGATTAATAAAGGACAAAAATTACTCATTTGGTTCCTCTGGAGCAAATTACTAAAGGTGTATCCTCACAGAAAGCTGTAAGCTGTGGGAGAGATTTAAACCTACAGGAAGCCTAACTCTATTAACTTTAGATCTAAATTACAAGCCAAGTAAGGAAGTTTCGTTAGCATATAAGAGACAAAAATACATGCTTCCAAGTCTGTTAGATACAGGGGCAATTCAAGTACTATTTCACCACAGTGTTGGCCTTCACATTGGCCCTTACAGCCAGCTGCTACGGCAGTAACAGGGGTTGGAGGCTTAACTCTTGCAAGTCACTCACCACCTCTTATTGCCTCAATAGATCATAAGGCAATCATAAAGGCAATATTTTCTATTGTTCAATTACCACCCACAGTGCAATGCCTAATTAGGTGAGACATTTTAGCACAGCTAAGGGTTGTCCTAACAAATGAGCACCCTTTAGGATAATAGCCATTGCTTAGACTTTCCCGATTCCCATAATTTAAAAAAGTAATGAGCCTATATAGATAAAGCAATAACCTTTGAAAAGGGAAAGTCTGCAACATGCTCATGCCCTGGTCACTAAACAATATCAACAAGAGCATCTAAAATTGTCTACAAGTCCTTAGAATACCCCTATCTTTGTGATAAGGAAAAAGTCAGGGAAATATCATTTGCTACATGACGTATGAAAGGTTAATAAACAAATAGAGCCAATAAGTGCATTACAACCAAAACTGCCTAACCCAGCAATGTTACCTGAAATATAGCCTCTGTTGATAATAGATCTCAAAAATTGCTTTTTTACAATAGCTTTGCATAAAAGAGATACAAAGCGCTTTGCATTTACCTTGCCAGCTTTGAACAGAAAAAGTCCAAATCAGCAAACTAGAGTCCATTCTAAAAGGTTTTTTAACTCTTTCTTAGATGAAGTACTGTTATTGCTACGTAAAAGACGGTTAAGTTGCTTATAGAGATCCCGATCAGGGGCAGAGTGGGATTGTCCCATTTTTACACATGTATAGCTCACCTTGATGTTGCAGAAGTGGGATCCTCAGTCGAATTCTGACGTGGGGGTTGGCCAGACACTGCAGTTGGCGCTCAGGACTCTGCGTGAGATCCCCCTCAGAGCTCCGGTTTCAGGCGTACACTCAGGAATGGCTTTCCATGCTTGGGGCCTCCAGACGCCACTCAGAGCTCCAGCGCAGGCAGTGCAAACCTGTGCTCGCTGCACGTGGCAGGATGCCACGGCAAGGTTCCTCACAGAGCTCCAGAATGCCGTTGCACAGCAGCGGCCACCTGTGCTCGAGGATTGACAGGCAAAAAATCCTCCAAGAGCTCCAAAAACTCACTACTTGGTAACGAGTGGTGGTGCTCGAGGATTGCCTTGCCAATTTTTAAAGAGCTCCAGCTTCGACACTGGCTAGCAACAAAATGCTGTGCTCACGACACTGATGAGGGAGTACAACAGGTTATTCTGTTACCATCCGTGGAGAAGTCTCCCACAGGTAGAAAAGCTGGAGATGCATCCAGACACGTGTGGGTGCAGGTCTGCAGGGATTCATCATCCTAGTTGGGCGCCAATCTGCAGGGAAGCTGGACTCAAGGACGGTTTGGATGGATGGAGACGAGAAATCTCTGAAGGCTGGTCTTAGAATATATGGTTTATTACAGAGGGTGAAAGGCCTTGCTTGGGGTTGCCAGACGCGACATGTGGCAGGCCCTAGGGCATGGGGGAAGGGAGAGGCAAGGGGTAGAGGGAGATAAGAGAGGATCCCAAGAGGATGTTCCAGGAGAGGTTGGAAGTTCCAAGAGAGTGGAAGTTCCAAGAAAGCATCTGGCTCCTCGGGGACCCCTTATCAGGGGGCTTCAAGGTGGGCTGGAACAAGACTTAGGCCAATGGGGTCACAGACACCTGATGTTTCAGGGGAGGGTTACAGGTGTGGGATGACCCATACATTTTGGGGGGTAAGATAGAACAGTCCATTTGACCTTTGGACCTATCTGTAGGTAAGGGCATTGTTCAACCAGAAGGGGGGATTGTCTTCATCCTGGCTGTACTATTGTCTTCTACTTGTTCAGTAACTAAGGTTTGGTACCTCAAAACTTGTTACCATCTCAATCTCTGTATTTTATAAATCTTTTGCCAGGCAGTCATATTTCTAAGGCTTTGTTTCATCTTCCCCAACATGGGACAAACTGGGCAAGAAAATAAATCCCTGTTCTACAGTCAGACAGAGCAGAGATTTGTTTATTCAGCACTGGGGAGTTGGGGAATCTTTCTGGCAAAAACTCACTTGATCTATACTAACTCTACAAACACATACATAATACATACATATATATATACAGTATACAGCTATATATAGACAATGGCAGTAACATTTAGTGATATTTACACTAACAATAACAGTGATATTTACAAATAGTTCTCAAGAATCAGATCTCCTTGAGGTACACGCTGTGTTGTTTTATATTTTTCTATTATCTACTATATGTAACTTGGTCTCTGAGCAAAGACAACCCCACAAATGGATTTGTCTGTACTCAAGGCAGAATTGATCTAAATTGTCTTCCCTAACAAACTTTTGACATGTACTACTGGGACTAGGTGGCCTTTGCTAGATGCTGCTCTCAATTTTTGAAAGATTACTCTACCCAGTCTTTTTAAGGTGGTTTTTAACTGTCTATTGTACTTCTCTACTTTGCTTGCAGTTAGTGCATGGTAGGGGATAGGCTACATCTATACAATGCTATGGTCCCTAGACTAGGCGTTGATAAAGCTGTTCTTGAAATTAGTCTCATTGTCTCAATCTTCTTAGGGGTACTATGCTTCTAAAGGACCTGCTTTTCAAGGCTTAGGATGGTGTTATGGGCCATAGTGTGAAGCATAGGGTGGGTCTCTAGCGATCTCATAGTGTCTTCTACTACTGTGAGCACATAGTGCTTACTTTGGCATGTTTAGGGCAGTGTGGTGTAGTCAATCTGCTAGGCCTCTCTATACTTATATTTGCACCACCACCCCCTATACTACAGGGGCTTCACCTGCTTGGCCTGCTTGATGGAAGCACATGTCTCACAGTCATGCCAGCACAGTCTCACCTGAGAAATACTGCCTATGGTTAGGTTTACTCTTCGGTCTTGTGCCCGCTTATAGGTGGCATCTCTGCCTTGATGACTTGAGGCATCATGAGCCCATCTTGATAGGAACAACTCTTTCTTATGTTGCTAATTTAAGTCTGTCTTTGACACTTCTATCTTTGCAGCTTGATCTACCTGCTGATTGTTTTGGTGCTCTTTATTGGCTCTAGTCTTGGGGACATGGGCATCTACATGGTGGACTTCCACAGGTAGTTTCTCTACTTTGGTAGTAATATCTTTCTACTCATCAGCAGCTTAAATTGGTTTTCCTCTATGTTGCCAATTAACCTTTTTTTTATTTTTCTAGCCAAACCCACAGGGCACTGGCTACTATCTATGAATTAGTGTAAAGGTAGAGCTTTGGGTTTCTCTTTCAGTAATGTCTAGGGACAGTTGAACAATTTTGAGTTCATCAAGTTGGCTTGATCTACCTTTTCCTTCAGTAGCCTCTGCAACTTGTTGTGTGGGGCTCCATATGACTCCTTTCTACTTTTGTTTCATCCCGACAATGCAACAAGAACTATCAGTAAAAAAAGAATAAAGTGTTTCTTTTGTTGGCAGTTGCTTGTACAGTGGAACTTCTTCAGCCTGTGTCACTTGCTCTTGTTCTTCTTCATCTACAAGACCAAAATTTTCACTTTTTGGCCAATTTGTAATTGTCTCTAAAATCTCAGGGCAGTTTAGGTTTCTAATATAGGCGTGCTGTATGATGAGGACAATCTACTTGCTCAGTGTGGCATTGGTGGCATGGTGGGTAGAGGGAACCTTTGCTTTGAACATCCACCACAGCACTGGTATTTGTGGTGCCAGGAGGAGTTATGCTTCAGTGCTTATTACCTCTGAGGCGGCTTGAACTCTTTCATAGGCTGCTAAGATTTCCTTCTCTGTTGGAGTGTAGTTGGCCTCAGACTCCCTATAGCTTTGACTCTAAAATCTCAGTGGCTGACCTTGAGTCTCATCAGACACCTTCTGCCAAATGCTCCTGGACAGACCATGGCTCCTGGCTTCAGAGCATAGCATGGTCTTCACATCTGGTCTTGTCTTGATTGGACTATAATAGTGAGATATTAGGAAGTTTTAAGCTTAATAATGGAGCTTTGTACATTGTATCTTAAGGCTTACAAGCAGGTATTGTATTCAAAACAAGCAAGCATTGTTTTAACCAAAGGTACATGTGCTTATAGTGGTTGGATAAAACTACTGTCATTATGCTTTTGCTTTGTGTGATTGGTCATAAACCTTTTAAAGTAAATTGTAACATTAAGTTCTTGGTCTGCTGCCTGGGATGTGAGCTGCTGGCATCTTCCCATTGTCATAACTATGTAATGAGATTGAAGCTAAAAAATAAACAGCTCGAGATGCGTTCCTCAGCAGTCCCGTCCCATTTGTGATTTGTACATAGCCCCTGGCCGGCAATAAATGGTGCTCCTCTGCGAGGACAATGGTTAGACTAGAGGAATAAAAAACAAGATTGTGGACAGCGCGATTGCCAGAGGCCCAGGTTGTTAACGGGGTTGGACAACACTGCTGGATTGAGGGATGCCCAAGAAAATCTGGGGCTGGCCAATAACATTTTGAGACTTTACAATACCCGTGGATGGATATTAACAAGTGACTTGAAAGTAAAAGGTAACTTCTTGTTGTCTTGTTGTGAGTGAGAATGAGTGAGATATTAAAGAAATAAAAGTGAGTGAGTGTGAATGAATGAAAGTATACGTGATACAGATTGTTGATTTAAAGTTTAACTTTATTTTCTGGAGGAAGGTGGATTATATTATACTAATGAAGATAAAGGATTTTCTATGCTGTGAAGAGTGGGAGGTGTTTAAGCTGTCAGGGGAATGGTTTGGAGCAGGGACGTGTGGGTGGGGCCCTGGGGAAATGAGACAGAAAACCAAAGAAAGGGCCTGGGACTCCTGGAAATGTTGCCTCTCTCTGTCTCCAGTTTCTCTATTCATGTCAGGAGCTCCCTACCTGCATCAGCTCCCTACCTGTACCTCAGTCTCCCTACCTGTATCAGCTTCTCTGCCTGTGTCAGGAACTCCAGCCCTCCCCATCCATTCCTGTCCCCACCATGATTCTAGAGCTGCCTGCTCCTGCTCCTACCTCTGCTTCTTTGTTGATTCTGGCTTTCCTGCTGACTTCCGCTCCTAACTTTGTCCTTTTATTGGTTCCAGCCTCAGTGCCATCCCCTGCTCTTGTCTCTGCTCTCTCAGTGATTTCAGCTCCCGCTGTATCTATGGGAGAGGTTCAGGAGGGGAGCAGAGCCCCACGGTGGTCAGGGTCTCAGGAAGGGACTAGGAATGCCTGTTGCTGCTACAGCAGGGGAGAACACCCTCACTTAGAGGGAGACTTGGAGGTGCTTCAGGGGGAGTGCCCTGTGAAGGAGCGGAAAGGTCATAGGCTCTGTTTACTGGGGGAAGAATGCCATCTGGAGCCTTTGGTAACTTGGGAAGCAGGCCCCCAAAAGGAAGTATTGGAATTTGTAGTTGATTCTGGGGCAGAGAGAACTTGTGTGGTGAAGATTTCAGGGAGATATGATATAGATAGTGACACAGTGGAAGAGGAAGAATGCAGAGAGAGAAAAGTTTAAAATCCCTGCCATTGAAGATGGAGTAATTAAGGAGGAGACTGGAATAGGAATAGATGTCTTGCTGGTTCCTGGAGCAGGCATCAGCTTGTTGGGGAGAAACTTGCAGATGCAACTGGAAATGGGGGTTGTACCATAAGAAGAGAGAGCTGTGCACTTACTTTTAAACTAGTTGTGTGTACACCTCATGCAGTCCAAAGTGTGTTAATTCAGAGGAAAAATAGAGTGGAGAAAAAAAAAACAAAGAGAAAAAAATGAAAAAAGAAAAAGAGAGGTTGAAAAAGAAAAAAAAAGTGGTTAATAGACTATAATGTTGGAATGTGGAATAATGATAACTTGGTACTGGAGGAGGACAGGAGTTTGAATACAATTTCTGTATGAAGAGCAGGGAGGTGTCTTAACACATGGTTGTTTGGAGGTTGTTCAGTGCTGAACTGGGATTCAGGAAGATCTAGCAGAAAAGCCCTCCTTGAAGGGAAGATAAAATATGCTGATAGTTTGCCCAGATGCTTACAAAAGGAAAAGAATATCAGGGACACCTGGGGATGCCAGGCTGGGGCTTATCAAGTTTAGGAGGTGTTTGGCCGCTCTTGAGCGAGCGACAAGGTCTCAGGGGGCTGTGGCAGGGGCTGTTTAATGTGGGTGACCTGGCGCAGCAACTTCCAGCGTTTGCCCACGCGGTGGAGGTGGCACAGGGCGCGGTTTGCGTGAGACGCTGCTGGGGGCTGGGGGCTGGCTCAGTTGTGCCAGGGTCCCGGAGGATGCGGGGTTGCCGGATGTGCTCGCCGGCCCGGCAGTGGTGCTGGGCGTGGATTGTGCGGGTTTGCCGCTGAGGAGAAGGCTGGCTCAGCGGCGGAGCTGCCGGGGGTGCCTCCCAGACTGCCGAGGTCCCTGTTATGAACAAAACAGCCTGGTTGGGACACTTTAGCTCAAGCTAAGTACTGACATTGAAATGTTAATTACCTAATTGCTCCTGGGAATCACCTACACTCCCACCCAAACTAGGACTGGGATGCAAAATAATCCAGTGGAATCATGGAGGGGGTTTTGGGGATGAAAAACACGCCAAAATGAAAAAGAGGGGCACAGTGGAGGGGGCTGGATGGGTGTGCTGGTTGGGGAAAAGGGAACTCCATCCCTAGTCTGTGTTTGACCTGTCACCATAACCTGCAGAGGACCAGATTGGACTGGGCTGTGGGAAGCAGGCACAAGGAAATCAGACACTCTTCTTGGTGTTACCAAGAGGACAGGAGAGGGATAGCTGCGACTGGATCTCGGTAGCAGGCTCTGCACTTCCCTCCTCCCTTTGGCTACCAGTGTGCCAGGAGGAAGGGACAGAGGATGGTCTGCTGATGGGGACTTCAGATACAGACTGGACACCTCTTCACCTCCAGCTACCAGTGTGCCACGGAGACTCCAGGGACAGACTCTGCAGCCTTCTCACCCTTCGGCTATTGGAAAAAGCTACAACACCCCCCTGCCGAGCTGACTTTTTAATACAGAGCTGAACACTAATAAAGGCATAGACCCTGTTCATTTCAGTCCCGATGGCAGCGTCAGCCCCAGTAGGTGGGTCGAGGGGGAGAGAGAGAAGGCAAGAGGAAGGCGAGGCACACCCCCAGGGTCCCCGCGCAGGTGGCTGTCTGCGAATCCCGCCCGCTCCCGCTAGGGCCAGGTCCGTCCTTGCCGGGGCTGCTTGAAGAGATGCTGAGAAGAGGGGGAGAGGGACCAGCGCAAGAAAGCAATAGATGTGATTCACCTTGTGTCAAAATCGGCCTGGCCTTTCTTGTTTAACTAACTGTAGCTCACAGAAAGAAGAATTTGCCTCTGAAGCTGTTAGCACCGCTGGATACAAGAAGAAGAGGCAGCTGTGGAAAAAAGCTTCTTTCTAAACACAAAATATTTTGGGGAATGCTGGCACAGTATTGTATTCCTTTTGTCACTGTCCCTGTACTATTGAGAAGTCCTTTTCAGGTACTACTGAAGCAGCAATCTGAGGGAAAGAGGGTGGATTCATGCCAGCAGAATCAAAGGACCTGCAAAGAAACCTGAGAAAATGACTATTGAATCGTTAAAACTGAAAATCATGGACAAAGACCCTCTAACTAGTTAAAGTTAGAAAGTGGTGTGTTTATTACACTGGCAGACAGCACGGGGTGAATGTTCATTCCCAAAATGCATGACTGAACCGTACAAGGATTTTTGCCTTCTACTTATTTTCCAAAATAATATATATGCATAACTCTAGAACCTCCCATCCCCACTTTGTATTAAAATGAGGTTATTAGTCTTTCATGTGTGTGCAGTTCTCTTGAATTGGTTCAGTGGTCTCAAACTGGGTCAGTGGTCCCAGGGATGAATTCAGGAAGGTCTTCATCAGGTCTCTGTGACCCTCTGGCATGATCCAAGGCCCTCTGCTTCGTGATGGATTGACATAGAGTCCAGGTGGTTGGCATCATTCTACTGGTTTCAATATGTTCCTATAATGGTTCACTTGCTCCACTTCCTTCTATAAGTGAGCTCAGAATATAACAATTAGCTTTAGCTTAAACATCTAATAATCATTAACTTATCATTGGTGTATTTAACTTCAATATAAATTGGTTCTAACCCTCAGCTAAAATCTTAATTTTTTAAAATCATGTTTCACTATCACATCTAAACCATGTGATACCAAACTGACTTTCAAACAAGGACTGGGTGGTAATGGTCTAGGAAGAGCCAAATGATCCAAGACACGTACAAAGAATCACAGCTAATTGGGAAATAAGGCCAAGCTTACATCAGTGGTTTCAAGTGCTGCCTGGACAAGTCCCGAGATGCCTCTGACACCCTCCTTGGGGAGGAATACTTCCACTTCAAACAGGAGGATCAGGACCGTTTTGGTTCTCATATTCTGTGACATATAAAGAAGAGGAGAAATTACAATTTCCATCAGTGCCATACCATATACCCTGTCTGATTCATCCTAATACTGGACACACTAGCTGGGTTGTATGTAAATGTTTAAATTGTGGAAAAAATTGGTATTGTAGTTCACAAATTTGACCCTCTTATTGCAGGAAGTGTCAAGTACCAAATCTATCCTCCATCCAGACAGAACTCAAAGCAACTGAAGTAATAACTTTGCTTTGTAGGTGGGAATTACTAGTGCCTGTTGAATGGGAGATACCTGAGGTACGGTGGGAAACCACAGTTAAGGAGTGTCAAAAACTATTTGCCTGGAAATCAGCAAAAAAGGACATGACAAGGATATAGAGGGCAAGCCTAGGTTGTCCGCTGTACTTGCCATTGAGAAGATCATATACACCTGCTGTGGGTACCAACCCCATAGGCAGGGAAGGTGGGGGTATAAGCCATACCAGACCTCTGTTATTCCTTTTTCTATCACTCATTCATTGTCTTTTCATTTCTGGGATACAGGCAAGCTCGTGTCACAAATGCTACTGAAAGCATTACATGGAAAGAAACTAAAGTTCCTTTTTTATTACACACACCCATGTCAACAGCCACTGTTATAACCCATCCAAATTAAGTACCTGTAGGCAAAATGGGGAAAAATACTGAATTGTAAGAAACTTAGGAAAAAGTAGTAATAGACCGGGAACTGAATGTCTGAAAGGAGAGAGATGGATTTGTTTCACATTTGACCTTAAGGATACAGTCCAAGATCTGGTAAAAGAACAATTAATAAACAAAAAGGTAAAACCAGCACAGCAATCTAACTCTGTATTGGCCCTAAATTATATGTTGAATTGTATTATAAGTCTCAAAGCAGTTACAGAGATGCTAACAAACAAAGCTGCTTGGCATTGGAATTAATATCAAGTCACCAAAGCCAAACAAAAACTGTGGTGTATCAGAAAAGTTTGGCTTTAGATTATTTATTGGCTAAAGAAGGGGGTGTTTGTGGAAAGTTTATAATACATCAGATTGTTGAAAATATAAGACAATAGGGATGTCATCCTGAAAAAAGCAAAATATATCAGAAAAATAACCCAGGTACTGGTCCAAAATTGGGAAACAGTGTTAAAAACTAGCTGGTGGGGTAAAGTATTGAGGAATAGATTGGTGAAAGAAATTAGGCTTCTTCCTTTTATGTGTTACAACAACTTCCTTGTTTAATCCCCTGTTTTTGAGTAATTAGAATAATTACCAGCATAGTCCAAAGAATGGAAGTGGACAAGAAATATTGCTCAAGCCAAATTATTTATAAAGAATAAAAGGAGGGATTGTTATAGATACATATTATAATATTGGCTTTTTGCAAATATTAAAGTGGATTTTATAAGTGTAGTGTTAAAGTAAATTTGTTATAAATGTATAATTTTTATTTCTGTTGTTAATTAAGCTTAGATATAGTAGTGAAATAGCTAATATAAGTATGCTTGTGTTAAAATGCCTACTTGGATGGGATAACATCCAATGAACTTGATGATGAAGACACTTGCTACAGATCTGCCAACTACCAACACTCACTGTCTGAAGATAATGTGGGCTGGGGCCAAAACTGAATATGATAAAAAAGGACAAAGACCACAACCAAGGAATATGCATACTCTAAAAAGGTGGAACCAAGGAGGAGCCACAGTAACAGTTCTTGGGACATGTAAACTAGTTTGGGGAAAAGTTTACTATGCATGAGTCTATGAATATGCAACAGGCTGATGTAAGTGTTGCTATAGGACACAAGAAAGCACAACACGAGCCACTGCGATGATTCTGACTCCAACCTTTATACTTTTCCAAAGGTGACAGTGGATTGGAGAGTGAATGGGCCACCTCTCCAAAGACATTGGACAAACCACCAGTACATCAACTTCCTCCACCCCCACGAAGGAATGCAAAACAATATGTTGTTTATAGAAAATGTGTGGGAAAGTTTTCTAACAGAATGTAAACTCAGAAGGCTTTAGAAAATCTTAAGAATCAGGGCGACAATAAAGGAGAAGGTATGTAAAGGGGCTCCCCGAAGGTAGCAGGGTGGTCTTGGCTGAGTGCCAAGATGCACCCATCCATAATAACCTTTGCTCTATGGTCCTTGTCTCCTATTGTCCTTTATTAAACTTTTTAAATTTTCACAGGAGAGTGAATGTGTTTTTCACACACATGCGCAGTTGGATCCAAGGGCCTGGCAGGTAACAGCTCCATGCATCTCTTAGCAGCCAGTGGCAAAGCAAACCAGATTGTTTTTCTCCTGCCTGTAGCTCTGATCAGGGACCATTAGAAGGGAAAACACAGCCCTTGTGCTGGAGCTGAGTTGGAGACCTGGTCTGCCAAGCACTATTGGGCTCCATCCAACTCATTTTCTGCTTGTCCGATTGACATCTAGGACCCTGTGCAGAACAGTGAAAGGTTGGTTTGGCCCCCAGGGAAGGAAAAGGAGCCCCTGGAGAAGCTGTACCAGGTGATGCTGCTACTGGAAACACCAAGGATGACCTCAAGGATGACAATCGCTTCCTTGACCTGACTGCTGGCAAGCTGAAGACTGACTTCAGTTCCAGCACCTTCTTCAAAGACATATCTACACCCAATTTGCAGGTGAGTCCACAGCCAGGGGGATGCTCCCAGATCTGGGCATGGCACGGCCTGGCTGAGCACCAGAAGTTCCCCCTTTTGCTGGGGCAGATGCAACAAATTCTTCAGTTGGCTGCCAAGCTGCTTTTTGGCAGGGCTCAGTAGGATGTAATGAAATGGGAGTCAGCTCATGGTCCTGCCAACAGCACCTGCTGTGCTTGGGGCTGGGGGCAGACAGCCCGACCAAAGCAAAACCCCATGGGGGAGCAGAAGTGGGACTCCAAAAGCCATACACTGGCTCCTTCGGTTTGTAGGTGAGGAAGGGCTTGGACTATTCCACTCTACTTGTCCCAAGCTGCGCAACAGCAATGTCACAGGGGTGCTGTGAGAGGTTACGGTGTCTTTCAGAGATGCTCTGCAGCCTTTGGCTGTCCTCACTGTTGTGCTGGACTCTTTCCCTTGTCCCTCCAGCAGGATGAGCTCTGTGACTGCTCTTTACCTTCCCGACTCTTCCCAGCCCATCCCCCTACCTCAGTGAGATTTAGGCTGAAGCTGGTTTGTCTCCTGTGGCCCAGCAGTAACATCCCTTCTGTGGGGAGCTCCAGCACCAGAGCCCAGTACAGAGCAGTGTGAGCTGGTCTGAAGCAGCTGTGCTGCACCCCTGGCTTGGCTGTTTGTGGGAACTAAATCCTGCCTGTGTGCAGTTCTCCCTGCCAGACTCCTGCTGCATCCCCTGCAGCCTGGGGCAGAGGATGGTCCCAGAGCAACTGCCAGAGCTGAGGTTCCTGTGCTGTGGCTCCAGGCAGCATTTGGAATTGTGTTCTTGTCTCCTAAACCTTGTGGGGAGAACAACCTGTTCTGCTAGGCCAGCATTGCCCCTCTATGCAGGAATAAGGATGAAGGGCTTTCCCATTCCAGAGGAGCTGGTGTTGAGCCTTGACAGGGCCTGGCAGGGCTGGAGCTGGATCTCACCCCTTTCTGGGACTCGCTGCCCACCCATCCCCACTGCACTTCTTTATCCAGGGCCAGATGGGTCTGTCTGTGCAAATGGCTCTTAGATGTTTCTGTGTCCATGGATAGGGAACAAACATGGAGACGGAAAGTGTCACACAAAGTGCTTGCACTCTCCATCCTTTCTATACAAAAACCATTTCTGCACACCCCATGTAGAGATCTAAGAAGAATCTATGGAGGGACAGAGATTTCCCACTCACCTCTAACTCTGGCAGCACTTCCCTGATGAGAGGTGACCAGTGGATTTTTTTTCCCAGCTCTGTGTACAGAGTAGCTGTCCAAGAGCTGAAGGGAGCAGCATTTAGAAACAGTTTCAAGAATTCTAGGCAGGAAAGGGAGCTGATGGCCATTCCTGGAACTTGCAGTGTTCATCAGGAGGGAGTACTGGTTCTTTAGGAATAAGGAACAATGGAGACAGAAGAGTTTGGAAAAAATCCCAGCTCTGAGTGGATTTGTGCAAAGAAGGGAGCAGCAGAAATTCTTTGTGTCTGGTTTTGTGGAGACAAGGTCCAAGGAGCTGTGGTGGCAAAGGGTGACAGGGCTGGTGACAAGTGAAGTACTGTTTTGTGACATCCCAGAGTGGCACAGAACAAAGCTCTAAGCACCCACAGTCAAACTGATGAAGTCTCTGTGATGCTGCACATCCTTTAGGAAAAGCTACTGTTCCACAGATTGTTGGAAATACTTCAGGTCTAAGTTTCAAACTGCAATATTTTTACACTCGACACAGTCATGCTCGAGGTGACTGGGAGTGGCTAAGAGCAACTAGAATCATGCTGCAATCTGCTGAGACCAACTGGAAGTGAGTGGAAACACTGGGGGTAAGTGGGATGTACTGGGAGAAACTGGGAATAACTGAGGTTATAAAGCAACCTTAAAGGGAGTTACTGGAATAATGCTGGGAGTATCTGGGAGTGACTGGAAGCATACTGGGTTATTGGGAGCTGGGAAAAAATGGCATCATACTGAGAGTGACCGTGTTCATACTGGAATTATACTGGGAGAGACTGGAGTCATAGTGGGAATAATCATACTGGAGGTGACCGGAACCATATTAGGGGTGAATGAGAACCTGGAACCATGCTGGGATCACAGTGGTATGATACTGGGAGTGACTGGGATCGTAGTGGGAATTACTAGGACCATAACAGGGGTGACTGGGAACTATAAGGCCCATTCTGAGAGTTACCTGAACCCTCTCTGGGTAGAATTAGGTGAACTGGCTCAGCTGGGCTCAGGGTTGCTCCACCCCAGGGCTGCCCTGGATTTCGTTGCTGCCTCAGCCCCACAGAGCCTTAGGGACACTGGAGAGGCAGGGAACATGGAACAGACAGAGACCATGGCATGGCCAAGGGCCACTATTCTCCAGCAGTTTGGGCTGTTGAGTACAGGCTGTTGCCCTTGTGGTCCCAGAAAATGATAAGCAAAAATAATCCTAAAAAACCTCCTTTCCTCCACCCCTCCCTCTTTCCCAGGCTTTACTTTATCCCCAACTCCCGCCCTCCTCCTCACCACCGGTGCAGGGAGAATGGGAGGGGGGGGTTATGGTCACTTCATACTGCTGTTTACCCAGCAGAGAGAGGAGTCCTTGTCCTGCTCCAGGGTGGGGTCCCTTCCATGGGGTCAGTCCTCCACAGAATTCTCCTGTACAACTCCTCCCAGTTTGCCTCTTTATGACCTGCTCCAGAGTGCAGGTTTTGATTGATTTTTTTTTTTTTTTTTTGCACAATCATTGGTTTTCACTTTAGCAAATGGACTTATCTCAACTGACAGAGTTTCAGCAAACAGACTCATGCCGACCTGCAAGTTGTTTGCTAGCTAAAATTTAAACAAATAAAAACAACAGAGACTCAGTACCACATTGTGTGGGGTTAACACCAGCTGGTGGTGGATCTCTGTTAAGAGGGAGGTTTCAGGTGGAATTCAGGATTTCTGTATCCTTCTGGACTTCACTGGGGTGTCTCTGCAGGTGGCTGCAGATGGAAAATTTCATCTCAGAGCACCTGTCACTGCTGATCCTGTGGGAGTTCGTGTAGGCGCAGTGGCCATTGCCCTGGATGTCAAACCTGTATCAACAACAAAGTTAGAGCTTATGGGACACAGCTGGGATGGGAGGGATTCCCATTTCCAGAGAGATTAGGAGTGCTGCAGGAGCAGGGACCAACCTTTCCAGCAAAGTCCCCATGAAGAACCCAAACTACCTTCCACTCCTCCCTCAATGGTTTTCATGTTCTTGTTCCCAGGGGATTCATCCAGGGATGTCCCCAGGTCCTCATCAGCATCTGCATCCCACAGATCCTTGGGTTGTGTCTGAATGCTTTGGCACAACTAGGGAAAGTAGTGTTTGATTGCTCCCACCTCAACAGATCTGTATGTACTTCTGCTTCCAGCATCCAGTACCCTGCCCCATCTCAGCCCAGGTCATAGTTTTGTTCTCCAGAAGATGGGACGTACAGGGCATTGAAGAGGGAACCATTGAGCCATTTCCAAGGTCCAGAACCTTCCCTCCAGAGACCAACCCAGAACTCCATGAAGTTCCCATAGCGCAGGAGGAAATGCTGGAAATGGAGAAAGCAAGGATCACAGGTACCTCCATGCTATTCTCTTCAAGCAATTTCCTGCAATTTCCAAATCTGCTCTTCAAAGGCTGTTCCACACCACCTCCTCAGGGGTTTGTTTCTCTTACCAGCTCCTCCCTGGTGTCGATGGTGGCCAGGTGGGCTTGGCGGGAGAGGCAGGAGTGCTGACTCCCTTCCCAGTCCACTTCCTCCTCCAGAAAGTAAAAGCACTTGTTCCCGAAGCCAATCCCACTCTCCAGGCAGCTGGGCAGGGTGGGAGCTGAGCAGGGTGGGTGTTTCCTAGCTGAAAACAAGCAAACATGCCCAAATAACTTATGCTGGGGAGGATTCTCCAGGAAGGAGACTTTTGGGTGGTTCCTGCACCCTCAGCCACTCACCTGCCAGTGTGATGATGGCAACAGTAAGAAGCAGCACCACGGCGAGCACAGTGACCGCAATGGTCACCTTTCTGTCATTGGTGCATCTGAGGCTGAAATCTTGGGACAAACCACGTGGGAAGGGCATGAAGAGCACCCTCTGTTCTCCCAGCTCTCACATTTCCCTTATGGGTAACTTCAACACCTTCCAACACAGCCCCAAAAAACGTTGGAGGCTCCCAGTTGGGCACAAGCTCAGTCTAGGGGGCATCCCAGTGCTGTCATTGGCTTCCAAGGACTTTTGAGTTTGCCCAACCTCCCTGCATCACCTCTATGCCCCCTTCCACCATGAAATGGGCACCATACCCCAGACCTTCAGCTTGCAAACACTGACATTTCTTTCTCCCCCTCCCACAACACCCTTGGACCATTTTAGCTTCCCCCAACACACTGAGCCATATCTTTAAACAACATCCCCATAACCAAACTGGGGCTTACTGGTCCTTCCCTCTGCTCTCTGCTGCAGCAGCTCCATCACAGCAGCTGAGTCTCCACCTGTGCAAACAAAGTGAATTCCAACTCACACTTGGAACTGGGGAGTGGTAAAGTCCTGATTTGAGATATTTTCCTCCTAGGACAGTCAGGCACTGTTGTTCCATTGCCAGGTTTATGTTTGCAGCAGGAAGGAAAACATAATTTCAGCTTCCAAAAACAGGACTTGCTTGTTTTTTTCAACTCTGCTTCAACCTCAGCTAACTCCTGCTGGCTGTACGTGTCCTGAAAAGGTGTTGTCTCGAGGACCTACACAAGTCCAGAAGGGTTTTCAGCCCCAGCCTCCACTCCAGGTCACCCAGGGCACACCAGAAGGTGCTGGGTGACCCCACTTGAGCCAACCTTGATTCCCCACCCTACGCAGGGCAGCTTGTGAAGCTCCTGGAGCAGGGGATGGTGCTTCTGTACCTTCTTCACAAGGGACTTCTGCCATTCCTGGGGCCACAGAGGGGACAGGGACACGCTCCAGGGACAAGAGTGTTCCTCAGCTCCTCCTGCCACGAAGTAATCTTGGTCAACACTCCAAGCTCACAGGGCCCAACCAGGTCCTGCTCCCTCCTAGGGCTTTACTAGGATGCTCCTGTGATCCTAAAACAAAAACAAAAAAAGCTGATAATCCTCCCATCCTCCTGGGTAGTCACAGCTCTCCTCAGCAAAGCAAAGGTTTTCCCACAGGAACAATCTGCTGAATATTTATAAGGAAAAAAATCAGGGAAACAGAGCAAGGGTTGACTGACACAGACTGGAAATACCTGTGGATGCTGCTGTCAAGTGACTGGCAACTGAAAAGAGTTTCTATAGTTATTACAACTATATAAATCACGCACATCAATGCCCAGCAGATGTTTTTGTCATCACTGTAAATTACATTATTACCAGTCCCTGCACCTGGTACTTCTCCCAGGTAAATATATTCCATGTGAGAACCACCTGCTTGTGTCTACAAAGGTAAGACATCCAAAAGGATGTTTTTTCCCCTCCAAATGTTTGAATTTTGGTTTAATTGATGTGTTGTTTTGTTACTGTCTCAAACCCCCCAATTCCTCCTGCTCCAGGCTGCAGCTTGGGGCATTTTGGGGTGAAAAACTGGTGGGGGAGGAAGAGGTGGGAAAAGGAGATGGAGGCACAGAAATTTCTCTCCCTCCAATCTTTTCCTCTCATTTCTTCTCTCCCAGATTTCTTGAGTCCCACCCACTCACACACCTGTTTTGGATCAAAGTAGCTGCTTCAGGAAATTCTGCAGAGTGGGGAGGCATCAGCTCACAAACCCTCTCCCGGGGGCACCTCTGGCCCCTTCACCCACAGGCCACAAGTGCCATGGATGATCTAGGGGTAATGGAACCTAGCAGCCTTCCTATACAGACACATTTCCCACTCCTGGGCACAGCCTCTGCCCCACAGAAAGGCTCCAACTCCCTTCCAGAACAAGAGTTAAAATAAACTCTCTCTGGGCTTGGAAGCAGAAGAATGATGCAGGTTTTTCCTCTCATCCCTCATACCTGCAAAGGGGCAAGTGGGAGGAGAGCTGGGGAGGGCAGAAGTGGAGCTGGGGCCAGTCTCTCCCCTGCAGCAGTGCAGGGACACAACTGTGTCTTCTCAGGGTGGCTTTGCTCATGTGAAGTTGCATCAAGGGGTGTGAGGGCCCCCAAATACTAACACATCACAATGGCACTGCTGCAAGAGCTAGAAGGGGCTAGAAGAAAAAACCCAATAAAATCACTGAAAACCACTTACAAGGCAGCAAAAACTAGAACTCACCTTAAAAACGCATCCAGACACTCAAACCAACCCCATGGTGGCAAAAGCTTCAATAAAACCAGCTGTAATGAGTTCGGGGTTTTATTCCCCTCTCTTTAATTTGCTACATTTATTTAATCAGTTGGTTATTTCAATCCCCTCAAAGATGAGGGTATGATCTGGGTGTTCAGCTCTATCCCATCCGTGGCATCTTTCCAGCCAGTGCCAACTCAATCAGCCCTGAGTTTTACATAAATAAGCTGCTTTTCCAGAACTCACCCTCACAGCCAAGCTCATGGAGACTGAACCAAATCCCTGGGGCTGTGTAAGTATGAGCTCATAGAGAGTGGAAACAGATTCCTAAGGCTGCTTAAGTATTATCACACACTGGGAATGAGGGCAAAGCATTCACAGTCACAGTCTGAGCACTTGGCTGTGCTCCAGCAGTTTGGGCTGTTGTGCCCAGCATGTTGCCCTATGGCTCCCAGGAAAGGCAAAGGGGTGGAGAATACCCTCCAGAAACTCTTGTTTGCTTTAAGCTTTATGTTTAACATTCCCATGTAATGGTTTGAGTCTGGCTGAGTGCCTGATGCAACCAAGGCTGCTCTGGACAGTGCCTTTCTGCCCCAGACAGGGCAGAGAACACCCAAAGAAAGGTTCTTGCTTGGACCAGGGCATAGAGAGGGCTCTCCCCTTGCACTGCCATGGGCATAACAGAGCTGGCGTGGGGGGAAATTATTTGAATTTATATCCAGTCAAACCGCAACAAAAGAATAAGAATTCAACCACATCCTAGTAAAACTCATTTCCCTCACCCCTCTCTCCTTCCCAGGCTTCATTTTATACCCAGTTCACTCCCAGTGGTGCAAGGGAACTGAATGGGGATAACGGTCACTTCATGCTGCCCCACATCCCCCTGGATCAATCCAAAAAACCCTTCCCAGGAGTTCCCCCTATCTGGTCTCTCTCCATTGGAATTCTGGGGTCCCCACAAACCCTGATGATCTCCCCTCTTTCGAGTCCAGCTTAGGGATCCTGGGGGGTTCCGGGCTTCCTTTTCCCTTGATTCTGCTTCAGCTCCCAGGTCGTCCCAGGGTCGCCCTCTTGAGGGTCCCCTCCCTCCAGGCACTTGGGGCTCCTCCTTCTCCCTGCTACCCCTTTCAGGGTCGGGCATCCTGACCTTCCCTCATCTCTGTTTTCCCCTACCCCTCCAGGCTCCCGGGGGTCCTCCAACTCTGCTATCACCCTATCTACCTTCCCCACTCCAGGGGCCCCATGTTACACTCCCCTGGTTCTCCCGGAGATTCCCAGAACTGATGTCCTGCCCCGCCAGTACTGGGCTATTGCAACATGGACACCCCCCCCACACACACAAAATGTCCCCCCACAAAGGGGCATTCGAGGCTCATGTCTGGAGTTCTGCAAGTTTCAAACACACCCCCATCCCCCAAGAAAAACTGCCAGGGAAATGCAAAGATACTTTGCATTTCCAGAATCTGCAAACTCCAAACACCCCTCAAAAAAAATCCCTGCCAGATACCCCCTAATATATTTGGGTCAAACTCCCCCCTCCACAGTCACCTGAGGGATGTAAGGGGTGTGATGCTCTTGGGGCTACAGGGACGGTGTACAGAGCGAGCAGTATCCCTCCCTGCTTCTCCTTCTGCTTCTTTTCATGCTCCTCCTCTTCCTGCTCCTCCTCCTTATCTTCTTCGTCTCTTCCTCCCAATTTTTTTCCCATCCCTTCTGCCCCACATCGCCATAGCACTGGCTGGTGGGTTGGGGGGAACTCCACCAGGAATAAACACAGGGGGGAATCCCCTCAGTGTGCATCTGCACCCTCATCCCCCACCCTGAGCCCAGGGATTCATTCCAGGGCTTAAGTCCTGAGTGATAAGGGTGGACACCCATGGAACTGCCCTTCTTCCTTTCCAGCTTCATCTTTTCCCTCCCTCTTCACCTCCTTTTCCATCGTTCCCCCCAATCCACTGACCTCTCCAAACTCAATTTGTGTGTCCCATCCCCCTCCCTCTCTATTCAGGGATCCCAGCTTCTTCTTTTCTCCCTTTCCCATCGTCCCCCGAGTTCTCAACCCACCTCTTCTGTGCTTGGTTTTGGGAGACCCAGCCCCATCCTGTTCAGTTTGGGCATCTCACCTCCCCTTTTGCTCAGCTGGGAGTCTCAAGCTCTCTTCCCCCCTCTTTCCCCCTCCCATTCCCCTTGCTCACTCCATGGATGGGCAGGCTCCCAGCACCACCAGTGCCACCCATACAGCACCCAGCTCCCCTGACACACCCCATCCCCAAAGCCAACTAGGTGCTGACACCCCAAAGCAACAGGGCTGTGCTGTGGGGTGGTACTGATAAATAACACAGAGAATAGAAATTCTCAGTTGCCCTAAAGTTGCGGAATACAGCTTAAAGACTAACTAGCAAATAAGATAAAAGAACATTAGAGTATTTACACAGGATGATAAACATAAGTGGAACCAGTGGAACAAACAGATAGAAAGGACTACAGGGCGTTTTTTTTTTTTTTTTTTTTTTGCAAGTCAGTAACAAAGAAGCAACAGTGCATGCTCACAGAAAAAGTTCAAGGCAATGTCACCTTTTATATTGAAGCATGGAGTGAATACAACCACCAAAGACCCCTTTAGCTGACCCTTCAGGATCATACAAGGCCTTCTGGGAGGAGGATGCAAAATAGTTCTAGGAAAGTGATTTTTTTGTGTTAAGATAAGAAACTTGTTTTAATGCATATGTATAATTGTGATGTTATTGTTATAAATGAAAATTTATTCAGCCAAATTAAAAAATAAAAATAGTTTTATTTGTGGTCAAATTCTATCTAGCCAGCCATGAAAAAAACACAGCGCCAAGCCCGGGGATAGACCCTGGGTGTGCAACAAGGAGTCAGCCTCAGCAGAGGTTTTTCCCCTATGCCCACACACCTCCATCCTGGCAGAAGCAGTTTTTATAGGGAAAATGCCACCTGAGGCCAAGATTTTCTGCAATCAGTCTTTTCTTCTATTTAGAATCCATATGTTAATAAGATTTTCTCTTTTGGAGATGAGGGAGAATAATTCAGTGTCTGGAGTTGTTGAATCCTGTGATGAAATTTACAGGAACGCTGCATTCACATGGATCTGTCCGAGGATTTCCATGATATCCATCTTGGGTTGTTCACGCGATGATCAGCACCTGGGGTCCCCCGCAGCTCTCTAGAGATGGCTCATCTCCTGGCGAGCCATACCTTCTTACTTGTAAATCAATTTGCAATATACACCTGGTCTCGGAGGGGAGAAGGGCAGGGGGGGGGAGAGACTAGTACAGATGAGTATAATCTAACAAGTATTTAACATTATATATTCCATACAAGGAATGGCGCGAATTATGTTTATTTCCCATAACATTATGAATGCCTTGTTGTTGTTCTGGGTTGTAAGATAAGCTTGTATTCTATTTGCCATCTGTTGGAGGTTGGGCAGGTTTGTTATCTTTTCCAAGAACAATGGTTTGCTCCGAAGAGGTAATGGTTTGTTAATGGGCCATTGACTGATTCAATGCAGGGCTGGTAACGTAACACCATCCCATTGTGAGATGCTCCACCCAGAGGGGGAAGCCAAGCACTCTTTTATTGGATAAAAGGGGTACCTTTTGGGGGACAGAGCAGCTCTCTCTTTGTGGGATTTCCCAGAGAAACAGCTCCTTCGGCGGGATTCCCAGGGAAGCGGCTGGAGCGCGGTGAGGCGGCGGCGGCGGAGCTCAGAGGCAACCCCGGCACAGAGGAAGACCGGCCCCACTGCCACTAGATCTTCAGAGAAAACTATACCCTTCTAAAGATCACCACTTCAGCTGAAATTCATCAGCCACTGCAAGAGGAGCAGCTATCATTTCAACCAGACTGCTACAAACACCCCGAATCCTCAGGTTGTGGACTTTATCACTGGTTTTGTTTGTACTGATTGCATTTGCCTTTTTTTAAATTATTATCTAGTTTTCTCCTAGTAAAGAATTGTTACTCCCATTCCCATATCTTTGCCTGAGAGCCTTTTAATTTAAAAATCCTGGTAATTCGGAGGGAGGGGGTTTACCTTCTCCATTGCACAGGAGGCTTTTGCCCTCCTTCACAGACTCCTGTCTTGTCAAACCAAGACAGTTGTAAAGTCTCAAGACACGCAGTGAATAAATATCTTCCTCTGTGCCCTGCACAGATAAAGACCGCCTGCTTTCTGATGCTTCAAATTGTGTTAGAAAGTTTCTTCCGGCCAATTTCGGTATCAAGGGATCCCAGCCCTGTCTTTTGGCACCTCTTCTTCCCTTTCCTATCATCCCCTCAGTCCTCAATACCCCTTACCCGTGATTGTTTTTTCTGGGGGGTCCCAGTCCCCTCCTGTTCACTTTCTGTGTCCCATCCCCCTTTTCAATAAATTTGAGGTCCCAAATCCTGCCCTCCCCTCCTCTCCCAGTTCCCCCTCTCCTTCCCCCTCCATGGTGAAATGAATAGGGCTTATGCCTTTATTAATGTTCAACTCTTTATTAAAAAGATCAGCTGGGCATGGGGGCTTGATATGGATCTCACCCCCACTGTTGTAAATTTTTTCAGGTAGCCGAAGGCTGAAGAGGTGTGCAGAGTCTGTTGCTGAAGTCCAGCAGCAACTGTCCCCTCTCGTTCCCTTGTGGTAACACCAGGAAGACCTGGCCTCTTTTTTCCTGCTTCCTACAGCCTTCTCTAGTCTAGTCTTGATGGTGACAGGTCAAACATCGATCAGGGATGTGTTTCCCTTTTTCTCAGCCAGCACACTTGTCCAGCCCCCTCTACTGTGTTTAGTTTTCCATTTAGGGGTGTCTTTATCCCCAAAACCCACTCCCATGATTCCATAGGTTCCTCTATTTGCATCTTAATCCTAGAATGGTGGGGGGGGGGGGGGAGAGGGAGGGGGAGGCAATCCCCAGGTGGTTTAGAGAAAACAAACAGAGCAATTAGCTAATTAACATTTCAATATCAGTACTTAACTAGAAGTAGCCACTGCCCCAGTGTTGCCATGGGAACAAGGAAGGCCCTGTCCACCCAGCAGCCTCGGGGGCATTGGGAATTTTGTTCATCACACGCGGGGCTCCCAGCACCACCAGTGCCACCAGTACAGCCGCAGCTGCCCCCACACGCCCCATCCCCAGCGCCGGGCGGTGCCGACAGTCCCAAAGCAGCTGCTCTGTGCCCAGGGTGGTCCCCACAGCGAGCCCGCCCCGTGCGACACCAGGAGCACCAGCCCGGCTTAGTGCGGACTGCAGGCGGGCGGCATCAGCTGTGCCCGGGCAGGGCTGGCCCCGTGGGGCTCCCACTCACACCTAGCTGTGCGGGGGGGCCCGGTATGGGCGCCCCCCCACCTCCCCCCTCCCCAAATTCCGCTCTCAGGGCACAGCAGGGGCGAAGTAGGGAAGCAGATGAAGTCTGGGTGGGGAGCGCTGGGTGCTGCAGGTCTGCCTGGCACCTGGGGAATCATCGGCGAGAAAAGTTATGATTGGCTGGAAATTTTGGGGTAGCTCTGGGCTTTGCGTCTCTCCTTGGCATCTGATGAGTCAGAATTATACTAAGTTCCGATTGGTTAAGTATCTTTGAAAGCTCTTTGTAGAGTGTGTCTGCCTGAACACTTGGAAGTTATCACCTCGGTGCTCTCTGATTGGCCAAGGGCTGTTTTGGAGAAAGGGGGCACTCCCCATCCACCAAACATGGGACCCCAACAAGTATTGCAGGAAATACAGAACCCCTGAACAATTGACCAATTTGATCAAGCAGAAGCCCTTTATTGTTTATAGTACATACATTTTTATAAATTCTACAAACTACTAAGTATACACTGCTTGATGGGTGCCTTTGTCTTGCTTACTCATTTTCTGCCTCCATTTCTCAGCATCTGTGATTGGTTACAGCCCTGGTGTTTCACAATCCTCTGTTATCTAGCTCTTGTGATCCTGGTGTTTGATTTCTCAGCTTCTTCATTCTTATTTTAGCACAGTTTATGTCATAGTAACCTTGATGAATTCCACAGTGCCCTGAGAAAATTCTGATAAGAACAGTTATAAGCGGTACAGCTGGTGCACACTGAGGCCTAAGTTGTTCAGATACATTGCTACAATTCCCCCTTCTTCTTCTTGCACCAGCCAGACCCTTTTACTGTATTGTCTACTAAGGGTCACTAACTTAATTATGCATGGAATAACACAAAACAATAAAATAATGACTACTAATGCTAACAAAGTTCCCTTTACAATATCTTTCAACCATCCAGTTATTGTCCATCCCTCAAATCATTCTTCCAACCCCCAGTCATTCAGTCAATTTCTTAATGTTATCTTATAGTTGTTTGAGTTTCCTGTGAATAGATGCAGAATGGTCATCAATGTTCATACAACATATTCCTTCAAACTCCTCATACGTGTGCCCATGTGCTAACAATAAAAAATCTATTGCAGCTCTATTTTGCAGTGTGCCATGACTAATACTATCTACATCAGTAAGCATTTGATTTAGAATAGGTGAAGTTTTGTTCAGTTGTTTAGCTGTCTAGCATCCCAGATTATTCAGTGTAGTCAAAGCTTGAGCAGCCACAACACTTGAGTAAGGAATGATGCCATGATTTGTGCTGGAGCACTCCAAAACTCTACACGATCATTACAATTAGATCC